ATGTGGCTGTAGCTACACGGTGTTGCTGTCTTATGCACCGCCTCCCAATTTAAAGATAGTCCAATGTTGTACAGTAAAAAGACTATTTACAATCCCTTAATCTAAGAATTTTCTGAGCATCTCTTAGGTGTTACCATATATCTTGTGCAACTGAACAGGTAAGTGTCAAGTGGAAAAAAGACAGGGTAGGGTCTGGCTTTCTGAGGAGCCTGGACTCCACTTCTGCTGTTCTCTGGGGCAGTGGGAATGGAGAAACTCCTATTCTCTTCTAAGCTGGTTCTGAGGAATCACGAGTCTGTCACCTTCCCATTCTTGGGAAAGGACACATGCTGGCTGCCTCCACGGATGGCCTAACCAGCCAGGATGCAGCCATCTGACAAACTTTCCCTGAGCTCTAGCACACCTCGTGGCTGCAGACACAGCCATCAGAAATGTTCTGCCTTTTCTGGACTCAGTTTTCCTGGGGTAAGGAGTGCTGGTATAAGGAGCGCTGGTGTAAGGGGGGTTGAGATCCACTTGCTTCTCATTCCTGAGCAGATATGAAGGAGCGGAGCTTAGAACAATGCTACCTAACCTGACAACCCTCCACCATGGCAGCGAAATGCTTTAGGCTTTAAGGCTCCAGAAGGAATGGAATTGCAGAACAGCCAGCCACATTTCACAGCTGGGACATCTTTGTTTCCTAGAAACATATTTTCTCTGTCAAAGTGAAAAATCCCATTTTCATGTTGATAGGAAGAGCTGAGCTGCTTCAACGCCTCTGTGAATATTTACAAACTAAATGTCTCATTTCTGAGAATGTCATTTTGTATCTGGAGTCTCATCAAGACAGCTGAGTTTTAATGTCGATTAAATATTTGAATGGATTTGCCGGGAGCTGGATTACCCTGGAGAGGTGCACAGCACCTGCCTTCTGTCCCCGTCTGCCATGCCCTTGGCTTTGGTGCAGAGTGTAAATTAAAAACCAACAAACCCCAAAACAGTTTAAATGGGAACACACCAAATAGACTAAGGTACTCCTCACTGCAAAATTCTGATGTGAATTTAACTGTTGCAAGCTCTCAGATCCTTTTTACACAGTGCATGGCTTATGGCAGCCACCAAAATTCATAGCAGTGCTAGCTCCATGACACAGGGAGCCTCAGCCCTTATAGATGATCAGCAGAGGCCTACCTGTCCACACAGCACTCCAAAGAGTAAAGACACAGGAGAAACAGTGGGACAATTAATTTCACAGACCCTGATCTGAGGATGTGGGCTCTCCTAAGAGCAGTGGTCCTGCTGCTGACAAAGACCATGTACTCCTTGAGTAAGCTGGCAGATTGGCCACGTGTCTCAGCACCCCAGGAACACTACCCAAGCTATCTAGGGCTGTCAGGCAGGCACAAGACTACCCCATGCAAGGGGTTACTTTTAGCTCATGGGACTGGATTCTGTCCTGCAGCCTCTGTGGGAGTGTCCCCTGGGCTGTCCAGGGTAGCAGAAACTACGTCTTCCCAGTTCTGCCAGGTTACATGGTAAAAACAGTAGCTAAGTAAGAATCAAACAGGTCTGTAAAAAACTGGCAAATTAGTGCAACAGGACAGTTTGGAAACCAAATCCCATTGTGACTGAAAATAGAGTTAAAGGTAAAACACTGATTTCTTTGTTTCAGAGACAAGAATGGCCCTGAGGACACACTGTCTTCGTGCATGAGTCATGCTCTGAGCAGTTCTGGTCTGCAGTGATAGAGCCTATCTCCCTAAGCAACACTGATACCCCACCCTCTTGCTAGACTGCAGGAACATGGCCCTCCACCATGTTGTCACTAGAGGCCCCACACCACAGGATGTGGCAACAGTGCCACATTGCAAAGTTACTCTTTCATTGAGTGCCTTCCTCTTACTTCCTCACAAGTCTCCCTCATCACCAGAGGAGTCAGTGATAAAATTTCAAGGGGGTGAGTTGCTGAACAAAAAAGCTTACAAAACAAACTGGAAATTCCTGAAGGAAGAGACCAGGTTTCCTCACCTCCTTCTGCAGCAGCCAACACAGCCAAAGCCCAGCCACAACAACAGGGTTCATACAACCACAGAATTGGTAAATAGGGTTTACTCTTTGAAATACCTCAGGGACCACCGCATACTGAAGATGTTCCTATAGACACAGCAGTATGAGAGGACACCCAGGCTGCATGTGGTGGCCTGTGACCCCAGCACTCTGGGAGGCACAGGTAGAAGCATTGCAAGTTTCAGGCCAGACTAGAAAATTTAGCCACTTAGCAAGACCCTGTCTGAAAGAAAAAAGAGCTGGGGAAGTAACTCAGGGATATTCGATGCCCAGTATCACGCACAAAAAAGATCTGCTCCTAGATGGCCCAGTGAGCCCAGTCAGTGGATCAGCACATCAAGACAATTTACAGCAGGCCACAAGGCTGAAGGCAGTGAAGTGAAGGCAGTGGGGAGGGAGGAGGAGCGAGACACTGGTGACAGCAGGAGGGAGCTGGACACCCAGGGCCAGGCTGGGCCTGTAGCTGAGCCCGAGTGGGTGGGTGACAGTGGGCCAACATTCCCGTAGGACTTTCTTGCTTTAAGACTGATGATCAGGACCGTGAAGCTGACTAGACTTCTTTGGTCCTTACGCAGGTGGCCAAAAAAGCCTTCCTGTATAACAAACAGAAATGCACCAAGGGATAAACACCAGGGTGGAAGTTTGTGCCATTTTTTCTATTCATCACAAACTGCACACTTTGAAAGGTGCCCAACAGTCTCTATAAATTAAAAAGAGAGTTCTTACATGTAAATAATACCTGCAACAATAGAGATTTTTTAAATTCTCAGTTTTTTATTTGCTTTTAAGTCATCAGGACTTTAAAAATTGGGTTCCACAAAACAAAAGCACAAGAATAAGTTTCTCTGTTGATCAAGAACCTTACCCTGACAGATTCAAAGAATATTCCGATGTTTACTGTGTTAAGTAACAGGAAAGAAACTGTAAGCCACAGAGGGGATTTTAGAAAATGGAGCTGCAAATCAGCCATCCTGTGACCTAAAATACCATACAGTGTTAACGGCCTGGCACCGGATCAGAGCCTGCGCCCCACTTTCACTTTTGGTGAAACTAGATCCTCCCATTTGGAGACTGTACCCAAACCACGTTCTTTCTAGACAGCAAACAAATAGGGCTGAATGTTACTGTTAATTACAAGGAAATGATCAGGAGTACAACTAAGTATGCATTAAAATAACCAGACGCCCTCATTCAATTTTCATTAGTCATTTATATATTTACAAATCATTGGGTGAGAAACGAGGTAATACTGTTCACCACTTTAAGGGCATAATGTGAACACGAGCAACGCACTCACTCACTTGTTTTATACACATGATCAGACGGTAAATTATGGAAACTCATTTGGTTGTTATGAAAACTGAATCCAAATACTGATTACAGAAGGACTCACTGATGAAAAGTTCATCAAACAGGTTCATTAAATATTATATAATATAATAAAAAGGGGTCATTAAACACAACAGTACTGCAGCTCATAGTGAAGGGGTGTGGAGATGACAGTTGAGCTTCTTTCAGTTCAGTGGGCATTTCAGAGGCACTTTTGCAGAGGGCTGGGGGGTCGGGGTTCGTCCTTAGCACTACAATGCACTGTCTTCTGTTTTGTGCTCTAACACATGTGGACGTGTGGTTTTATGTTAAATACAAGGGCAATGTCAAAGGAACTGAAGCTCCTCTTATCCCTACCAAGTGGGGTGGACTCAAGAGGTTTGTGTGCCCTACCAAGTCTACTTCCTCATAACCTGCAATCTATCTTGAGAGGTGGACAAAGTAATGGACAGATAGCAAAGCAATGTGGACCTCCCTGGTAGGGACTGAGGGCCACACCATGGAGATATTCCAGTGGTAGAAGCTAGAGTGGAGAATTCCAATTAGAGAGAGGAAGCTGATGCATATTTAACATGAGAAATGCAGATGATGAGCTCAAAGTGCCAGGTCAACTCTAGTTGCGAGGATCGAGATGAATTGCATTTTTCCTGTTTGTTTAACCTGTACTTTCCAAAAGTGTACAATAAGGTGGGCTGGCATGTGGAAAAACAGCACTGGAAAGGTTAGCCACCATTAACCTGTGGTGGGGGTCAGGTCAGTCTGTGCGCCAAGGTCACCCTGAAGTCCTAAGCTCTAAGGGGAGGACCCAGTGGTTCTGGAGAAGGGCCCAGGCCATGCAAGCACATAGTGCCGGGCGGAGGGAGAAGCCTGTGTTGGCATCTGCACCTGAATCTCCAAGGCTGGAGAGCGCTCTGGGAGACGAGATATGTAGTCAGGCTGAGCAGGACCCCAGAAGCAAGGGACCTGAGAGCGGCTGCAGGGTGCAATGGACAAGGAGGGCCCTGAGCACCAGGGGCTGAACTCAGAAGTCAGGTCACTGATGTAGCGCAGAGCTGGGGGAACAGCTCAGCTACTTCCCAAGTATAGGTCACACAGGAGACTCAATGCACTCTGCAGCCCATGTTCTGGGACCTTTCTCTGAACACCAAGTGGGGGACTGAACTGCGGTTCCCTGAGTCTGACTGAGTTTGTGGAAGCAGGCACTTTAAACAACTGAGCTAACCAGCAAGCTGCCAGGAAATGTTTTTAAAAAGTCTTTTTGCTGGACAGCAAAGGAATGTTACAATTTCTGTGCTCTGTGAGAACTTCCTGCCAAATGACACGTGACACCGCTCATACTGTGCTCCCTCGCCTCTCTTCCACTTTTCTCTTTTTCTGTTTTCTCTCCTGCCTTCCATCCTCGTGTTTCCTTGCAAGGTTAGGATCTTCCTACTGACACAATTTTCCTGGACAAGTTAATAAGAACAGTCACAAGGACACAGTGTTCTCTCAACCACCAGCGAGGAGCTGTGTTAGCTGAACACACTCTACTCTAGGCCACATCATGGGGATTTGGGTTTAATAACCAAAATCACAGGTGCAACTCAAGGCAGCTCAGATCGCAGGCTTAGCCCAGGCCTTACCTTATGGCCTTTCTCGGCACCTAGCTCTCGCTTTCCCACGTGGTTTCCCATCCTGCACTGACGGGCTCTTCAGCAGCTGAAAGAAAAAGACAAGGTGTTAGCCTGAGAGCAAGGACTTACTATAGAGCGTTCCACATTTTTTTTTTTAACAATCCTATGCTCTTTTTTTGAGAAGGTAACACGAAAGCCCTACATCCTGAGGACAGCAAACAGCACTGCCTCTCTATCTCATGTACAGAGCCTCAAAATGACATAGCACCAGTGCTCAAAGTCAGTTAGAGCAAGGAACACATCCAGTATGTGTCATCTATAAAAAAGTCAACCCATTCAACAAGTCCAGCAGATCATTTCCACATGAGCATTCACATCCAGAGGGCCACACCCCACCCTGGGGTGAAAAGAGAAGAGAACAGGGCTGGACATGCTTCTGAGTCTTCCAAACACAAAAGGTCATGAGGAAATGTTCACACTGACTGCAAGAAAGGATGTGTGTGACCAGAGGACAGAAGAAAAAAAATCAGACCTAAACTGTGCATGAGACAAATAGCCAAAGAACCAGCAGAATTTACTGGGAAGATAAACTGGAACAAAACACATGTGCTCATTTTTATAACTCAAATCTCAGCAACAAATATGCACTTGTTGTGGTCCACAAAACACAGGGACCTAAGGAATTTAACCGTATTCATTCCAAATAAATTGCCCACCTATCCTCTGTGTACCCTCACTGAGGACTGGGAATTTGTCAGTAGAGGGTCCCTGGTGCCTCAGCCTTGTGGCAGGTGGCCTAAATCTTACAGGACAGTGACGATGTATTGTATCTCATAATGTGATCTTTTTGAAGACAACACTGAACTCAAGAAAGGTAACAAAATAACTCATCTTCTAAAACGGGGAAAACGGAATTTCCAGAATATTTATCAGCATGAATATGAGGTTTTAATCACCAAAAATTATTCTTTAAACAAAATAACTGCCCAACACCTGATGTTTCCATCTTCCCCATCACTGGGTGCCTTTGGTGACTCATGAGAGACAACTTCGGGGCTCTCCTCTCCACAATGACCCAGCTGTGTCCCAGTGGTGAAGGGGTAAGTGAGGAGCAAAGATGGAGGCTGATGCCGACAGGCCACCGCAGGGCTCAGACTCCTGTGCTGGCCTCTCAGCACAGCCCGCTGTCTCAATTTCCAGTCTCCCAACCAGGAAGAAATAACAGCCTAGATTCCCAAGCATGTCAGTTTGACTTGGTCTGACAGTAAAGCTCCCTCTGCCTTCTCCTTACAAAAAAGCAGAAAAGAGCAACTGCACACTCCCCAATCAGTGATCTTCCTGTTTTACTGGTAACCCTACTTTTTACAAGGAAAGTGACTTTGAAGGACCAGAGCACTTGTTTTTTCTTTCTGTTTTTCTCAGCCCTTCTCTGTCTATAGCACCAACTTCTGCTCAGCTCAGCTCAGCTCAGCTCAGCTCAGCTCAGCTCAGCTCAGAACACACTTGTTCTATTTCATGCAATGAAGGGTTGCTCAATTCTAGAATACAAAACAAAGCCAAGCCAGGTTTTTGAGTTATAATTTGTCCTTTGCCACACAAGCAGGGCAGAGGTCAGGCCTTGGTGCAGGGACTGTGGTGTGTGAGGAGGGATCCACAGGAGGGGACACTACCATCAGACGGCTGCAGGAGGGAAGACCAGGAAGAGCTGCTGTGCACTGAGCAGGGTATGTGACAGTGACACCTCTGGGGATAGCCCTAGGCAGCAAGATAGTAAAGTGATCTTCAAGCAACTTCAATAGATGTACTGGTAATGTTCTGGCCAATCAAAGGTATGGTGTAGTGATGGTAAGGATATAGCCAACTTTGAAGAATCAGATAAAGGTCATGTTTCATAGTGTCTTAGTTTCTTCTCTCATTGTTGAGACAAAATACTTGACACTCAGTGCTAAAGTCATAAAGGTTTACTTAGCTTACAGTTTGTAGAGGTTTCAGTCTACAACCAGCTGGCTCCACAGTAAAGGGGCATTACAGAGGAGAAACGCTTCATGACTGGCAGAAAGCAGCACAGCAGCAAGGGACAACCAGAGCACTGAGAAGGGTTTGTGACAGTGACACCTCTGAGGATAGCCATTGAGAGCCTTATGTCTTATCTGGCCTATTCAGGTTAGGTAGCACACCCTTAATCCTAGTATCCATACCCCTAGCGTGGCCCCACAAATTCATTCCAGAGTCACATACTTTAGATCCAGCTACCTCTCAGAAAACTCCACTTTTGATTCATGAGGCTTTGGGGAAACATCTAGACACAAACCATAGCATTCTGCCTCTGTCCCCAAAAGACTCATGCATGCAAAAGGCATTTAGCTCATCATGCAAAAGGCATTTAGCCCATCTCTAGGAGTTGCCTAAGTCCTTACAGTTCCAGCATGGCTGAGGTTTTAGGGGGACATTTAGACCCAAGCCATAACACATAGCAATGGAATGAACACTGCAACATTTTGATATGTGTGATTTTTTAAAATATGAGGCCAAACATCTGCAAATAATTTCAGTATCTACTACAATTCTATCATCTCCCTTCTTGACTTACTTAAATTGTATTATCCAAAAATCAAAGCAAAACAAATAAATGAACAAAAATTTCTATGGAATAAATTTTACATTTGGAAATGGTGTTTGGGGCACGTGGTACTTGCTAACAGTGGGAAAAAGAGCAAGAAAGAGAGACACGAAGAAAATAGTTTTTGGCTTCTTGTGGTCTAAACACAAAGGGGTGTGTTCTGCTGACTTCTCTTAATTCCATGCAGGGCAGCTCTAACTAAATATTGAGAACTTGTAAATTGAGAACTTGTTATCACTATACAGGATAACAACACAGCAGACATGTGGTTCTACCTTTCTGTTTAGGAAGTAACAACTGGCTATTCAAAACAATCACAGGCAAATGTAGATAACTCCTTTTAATCATAGCTGGTAGCTTGGGTGTTGGGGCTGTCTGCGTGTCTCAGGCACTAGACAATGTCATGTTGCTAGGCCCTCTTTCCACGTGTCCACCTCTCCCAGGGATTCCCTCCCAGGCATTCCATCCCAGCCTCTTGGCCTGTGTCCTATCTTCTACTCACCCGCTCAATCCATGTCCCCATGCTGGTATTGTCAGACCCACATGTGACATTCCTTCCTGCAGAAACCAAATCTGTAAGTGTTTGTCATAGATTGGAACAGCATGCAACACACAAGTAATTTGAAAGCTGCTCACAAAGGAGTGCTATTTTGTACCAAGAACCCTTGAAGCTTAGCTGAAGTCTAAGGCAAGATGCTGAGCTATTCTTAGACCCAGGCCATATTCCTGCCTTGCAAGTAGGTTCTCTTAGACCTTTAGTGAATTTCACATCAGAACTTCCCCTTACCCTCAATTTCTTTTTCTTTTTCTTTTTTGGTTTTACTTTTTGGGACAGGACCTCACTGAAGTGGTCCAGGCTGGCTTTTAACTCACCAGGAAACCTAGGTTGGCCTTGAATTCATGATCCTCTTGCCTTAGTCTCCTAAATACTGCATTAGCAGACATGCCCACCGTGCCTGGCTGAGATGACTGATTTTCATCAATAACTCAAAACTCAAGGCTACGGGCCACAGAATTAATTGAAATATAAGAGTTCACATCAGATATTTACATCAACCTAGTTAGAGTTGACTAATTATTCTGGCAAACCTACTTAGACTTGGCTGGCATGAAATGAAAATACAAATAGGATCAGGAAAAAATGACAGGGAATATAAATGACCACCTGATACATCATGGTGTACCAAGTTGGTGGTTCTCATCATGGACAGTGTTGTCTGAGCATTAGCAACTTTGATGCACAGCAGGGACCATGGTCAGGACAATGACACGTAGGTGCCACACATTTTCCTGGTTGTGGTCACGAATGATGGGCAATCCACCTTATTAAATACTCTTACTCATCGCTGCATTTTTGAGGCAGTCAGGTTAGAGAAGGCTGAAGATGGCACTCACAACAGACTTTCACAGACTGTGGGGAAGAGCTGTCAGCAGACAAGAGGAGCCACACATCTGAGGGCATCCTTACTTTCTTGTAGTTTTACAATGAATAAACCAGACCAAGAGCACAATCTGACAAACCTGCAGAGCACTGCAGGGAAGGCAGGCTGTCAAGCTGCTCTTGAGTTAACAGGTTCTCAGAAAAAGCAGAAAAGAAAAAGAGCAGAAGGGATGGACATCTGGATTCTATGGGGACTGCTACAAATTTCTAGACTGAAATTCAGGCTTCTGCACTGATTGGACTACAGCCAGTGGGAATGTTGGATGTTTGGGCAATGTCTACATGATGATCAACAATTTTTGTCAGCTAGCAGGGTAAAATCCATCATAGGAAGAAGTTCATAACCTTGATTTACTGGGAAACAATCCAAACTTATCTGTTTGGCTTCCATTTTTTAAAAATATGCTCCCGAAGCAGCTAGACTTCTAAATGTTACCATGGTACAGCTTTAGAGGGATCAGTGTAGATAAAAGTCATTAGCTTATCTTCCAGGCAAATGGTGAAGCTAAAATGCAGGGAGGCGCAGGAGAAAAGACCCAGCTCCTAAGTATTTCAACCCATTAAGGGTTGCATTTTATAGGAAATGAAAGTAGACTGGTTGAGACCCAGGTCTCACTCTGGGTTCCACCCCGGTGACTTTGAACAAGATTCCACTCTGCTGAGCCTTAGTTTTCTGTAATAAGGAGGCAATAAAAACTCCTTTCTTGCTGAGGGTGCTGGGGTTAGGGCTGGGTTCAAGGTCTTGATGAGCTGAAGGTGCTGTTGCAGGGCTGTTGGGGGCTGGGGTTTACTGCACTATCGGATGGAACCTGCCTGTCTCCTTCCTCTTGCCTACCCAGGATTATCGGGGAGGGAAGGGATGGCTGAGGAGACAGCAGCCAGCTCTCCCGCACCAACTCCTTTCCGAGACATAACATGGCTTCCCAGTGCGTGCTTCTGTGCAAAGCAGGTCAAAGGCAGGGAAGCTGCTGTGAGAAGCTGTGAGCCCAGAACAAAAGACCCTGCTCACCACAGATAACAGAAG